GAAGATTTAACCTAGCCAAGTGCCGTTGTTTATGTTTGTGTCAGGGCTCCACTTGGTGTGCATAAATTTCTACCAGTCGGTGGTTGCCAGCAGGTTCTTTTTTGTTTTTCCTTTATAAAGTGTGCCTTACCTAAGAGCTCAAGCTATTCGGCGGATGTCGAGAGTAATCTCTTATTGGGTATTTTTAGACGTATGTACGTGCGAGGTTTAAGAAAGTTATTTTCTTCAAATGATGACAGTTGTATCCATAAAACTAGTCCTACAATTAAGAATTTCATATTAAAAATACAGCGCCGAAGAAAATAATATGAATTACATATTTCATAAATTTCATACTTCCACCAGATGTCAACCGTACATTTTATGAAAGATGCCATTTTCTTTTCTGTTGTGCACAAAATATACGATGAATCATCCACCGAAATGGGTATGCACAACGTAAGAGTTTAGCTCCTTCAAAAACGTTGAAAATATCTTCACCTCAAAATTAGGGCAAAGTCAAGATCTGCTCTATTACAGCATAGAATAATTAAAAATGCGTATATTACAGCATAGAATAATTAAAAATACGTATATTACAGCACAGAATAATTAAAAATACGTATATTACAGCATAGAATAATTAAAAATACGTATATTACAGCACAGAATAATTAAAAATACGTATATTACAGCATAGAATAATTAAAAATACGTATTTTCCCCACATTACAATGGGAGGATTGTATCTGAAATTAATCACAAGTTACTTCTTTAATATTTGCCCCCACTCCAGTGGCACAGCGGTATGTCTGCGGACTTACAACGCTAGAAACCGGGTTTCGATACCCGTGGTGGGCAGAGCACAGATAGCCCTTGTGTAGCTTTGTGCATAATTAGAAACAAAAAAACAGCTTCTTTAATAAATTAGTAGAGCGATCCATGCATTTTAACAAACTGCGCAAAATAAGATCGAAATCAATCGACTAGCAATCTGAGGATCGCGGGTTCGAATCCCCGTCCACCAAACATGCTCGCCCTTTCAGCCGTGGGAGCGTCATAATGTCAATCCCACTATTTGTTGGTAAAAGAGTAGCCCAAGAGTTGGCAGTAGGTGGTAATGACTAGCTGCCTTCCCTCTAGACTTTCACTGCTAAATTAGGGACGGTTAGCGCAGATAGCCCTGGTGTAGCTTTGCTCGAAATTCAAACCAAACCAAATATCAATTATCAGAAACAAATATAATTCGAATTTTAAACAGATAAAAATACGACTGTAGAATAATCGATAATCAATAATTAAAGTCGTTACCATTCGCTGCGAAATGGCATCATTGTTGTGATTACCATCTGAGCATCTTTCGAAATCTCAGAGGTGTTTCCTCAAAATGGCGCTCAAAAATCCTACACTGATTCAGTTTATTTATTTTTTTAAACTAAATCCTGTTTGCCGCGTTAACACTAATATTTACTTTTTACTTCTCATGTATATTTATGCTTCACCCCCCCCCCCAAAAAAATCTAAACCTTGAAAGATAGCAATACAAATATTACACGCGGATCAAACTGGAAATTCCACACACAAATGCTATTCAGATGCTTTAAATCCGAAAAGACTATTTGGCGTGTAGTTCTTTCCTCTTTTATTGCATGTACTTAATATTTAATACTACGAATAAGTTTTATTTTAAAGTGATTGTATTCCGTGAGCGTTTATTTGATTTCAGTCTCCATATTGGCCCGGCATGGCCAGATTGTTAGGGCGCTCGACTCGCAATCTGCGGGTCGCGGGTTCGAATCCCCGTCACACTAAACATGCTCGCCCTTTCAGCCATGGGGCGTTATAATGTGACGATCAATCCCACTATTCGTTGGTAAAAGAGTAGCCCAAGAGTTGGCGGTGGGTGGTGATGACTAGCAGCCTTCCCTCTAGTCTTACACTGCTAAATTAGGGACGGCTAGCGCAGATAGCCCTCGTGTAGCTTTGCGCGAAATTAAAAAAGCCAAAGCCAGTCTCCATAAGCTTAATATTGGCTTGTATTATCCTATAGATAAAACATATACATCAAATTACTTTCATATATATATATATATATGAACAAAATGCGATTATGTTTGTTTTGTTTTTTACTTTCTTTCCTGCATGTGTACGAACTAATGTTATCCATGCCCAGCAATGTTATTAGAAAAAGAGAAATGCTTTTTGATTCAAGCAATTTGTTTTTAATTGGTTCGGTAATTCAGAAAAATTAAACGATAAAATCGCTGGAACTTATTAAAGTGATCTGAAACAAAGCAATGTAAAGAACACTAGTGTGATGGCGTACAAGAACTAGGTATAATACGAAACTTAATTCTATTCCCAGCCTAAAAACCTATGGTTTAGACGATACCTTCTTAAGCAACTTTTTCTAGTAGCTGGAGAAAAAAAAGATGTCAGATTGATGTCATTAGTCACGCACGCTTCGTCAAGTTAGATGACTGTTATGCTACAAAAATTAGGACGATTACACACTCACGCACTTACACCATACACACACACACACAGCATATATATAAATATATCAAATTATATATTAATTATGTGTCTTTGAGAATGTGTAACGGAGTACCAAACCAATCAGACTAACAAGAAAAACACACGCCAGTTCTTGAAATTAATAGATTTAATTAAACACATAAAAAAAGGTGAGTGTGTATATATACAATGATTAGGTTTACTTGTCCGCTGTCATATCTTAATGTCTTTGAGATTTTTCTATTTATTTTGAAACATTATAAAATTAGTACGTAATTGAAGGTTACTTAATTTATATCAAAACTGCAGTTATTTTTTTTTAAATAAATGATGTGCTTGTTTGTTTGAAGTTAAGCACAAAGCTACACAATGGGCTATCTGTGCTCTGCCCACCACGGGTATCGAAACCAGGTTTCTAGCGTTGTAGGTCCACAGACATACCGCTATGCCACTGGGGGGGGGGGCTAAATGATGTGAGATAAGTAGACAAACAGCTGTTTGTAGTATATAGTGCATATTGGAACAACAGACAAACCAATAAAAACTTTTAAAATGTAAGAGGCAAGCAAGAGACTGCTGACGTTGTTTGACTAAACGTATAGCATAAATGAAATCAAAATATTCAATGTAATTCTATCTACTTACGTTTTAATTTCCAGAGCAAATATTCAGTATTTTAGAATAAAAAATTACATTTTTCAGCAGCACAAACTTATATCTGAACATGGAACATGGAAGACTTCCCGGCATTTTTGAACCGATCAGCCAAATGTTTTTTATACCCTGAGATTTCTATAGAGCTAGTGAGAATTAATGTCTAAATTTTGTGAAACTTCGGAAATATGTATAATAACGGGACGTCTTCCGTGATGTAGCTAGCGTTCTTGAAGTTGATATGAAGGATTAATCGTCTGACTTGTGTTTCACTTCACAAAATGTTATCACACATACAGTATGATATGTCTGGGACTAAATAATCAACCAGTTCTACCGGCATGTTTCATTTACTTCACAACATGATGTCGTATACAGTATGATATGTCTGGGACTAAATAATCAACCAGTTCTACCGGCATGTTTCATTTACTTCACAACATGATGTCGTATACAGTATGATATGTCTGGGACTAAATAATCAACCAGTTCTACCGGCATGTTTCATTTACTTGACAACATGATATTGTATACAGTATGATATGTCTGAGACTAAATAATCAACCAGTTCTACCGACAAAGAAATATTTGTTACCTGTAAGTTACAATATGCAATAGAGATTTTGTTTTTAACTTGTAAAATGTTTATTACGGAGAAATACACACACTACATATATATGTTTCGACCTTCTACTTAGGTCATCATTAGGCGAGAGAAAATAACAAGTAATTTGACACATTGGAGAATACAAGATTAAAATAATGTTATAATCGGTATTATCATTATTGCTTATTTATAAATAGTAAATCACTGTTATGTTACGTAAATTATTATTCAAAAAAGTTAAGTTACAAAAGATTTGCTCAAAATTTATCTTAAAAAGTACTTTTGACCAGTAATAAGTTAATGGCTGATAAATGTCGTTTGTTGTTAAGCGCAAAGCTCAACGGGCTATCTGTGCTGTGGCCACCATGGATAACCAAACCCGGTTTTAGCGTTATAAATCTTCAGACTTACCGCTGAGCCACTGGGGCAGGCTGATAAGTAAACGTTTAGTTTGAAGCTATAAAATTAACAATGCTGCGCATATTTTCAGTCAGTTCGTACAATAAATAACGAAAAATTTGAAATATCATAATAAAATCTAACATCACCGAAACGAACAGACGGAGTTAGGAAACGTTAAATTTAACTATTTGACATCTGGAAATATTTTAAAGACTATATATATATATCTGTAAGTTTTTTTCGCATAAATTTTAAACCTACTGGCTTATGTGGTTAATGCTTTTTTTTATAAATTTATATGAATTTGTGTATGTGATTACCATGAACATAGTTTTCTCATTAGAAATAAACTCTGTTGGAACCAGAGTTCGAATACACCTCGAACAAATTCTGATAGTTTATTGTTTCCTGGAGAAGAGCTTAGGCCCGAAATGTTAAGATAAGCAACCATCGTCTTTTGTTTGAGTGTTCATTTATTTACATCATTTATCTTTTATCCCTTGAATTCCGATGTAATCCGAATCTGTTATGATCTAAGTACGAAATCTGCTATCATTCATCCTACTGTCATTTTAGTATTATAAAAGTATAATAGATATAAGTTCTTAGATTACAGTAAACTCATTCATAATGGAATTCACGTGTTCATTACCTATGAAGACATTCGTGCCGTACTTAAAGCCTTTTCCATGTCATTTTTTTTTGTGTTGAAATATCTTGTTTAAAAGATTGGGCTTTGAGGATCATCCCTGTGGGACTAAGATTGGAATTTACAAGGTACTCCCATTATTTTTTTTTCGTTATTGTTACGGTAAGATCCTTATTTAATTCTGCTCCGTAGGATTTTGTCGTAGGATTGTCTGCCTTAACTCGAGGTTCAACTTTAGAAAAACTGCAATGGACTTTTAACCTTTATGATATCAACGGTGATGGTTGCATCAGCAGGGAGGAAATGTCTGAAATCATCATGGCTGTTTATAGCCTCATGGGACAATTTGCTGAGCCCTCTGTTGACGAAACGTCCGCACGAGAGCATTCCGAGAGAGTCTTTCAGGTAACAAGATAATTTATCCTCTAAATTCTTCTTAACAAAAGACATATATTTGTTTTTCCTCACCACAACATCTTATAGATGTAACAAAGTACGATGTAATTCGAATTAGTTTAAATTAACACAATAATGTTTCCTCATGTTGAAGCGGCATTATAATTTAACGTAGACAAATTGATTAAATATAAAGAAGGTGATAAAAACATGATTATAGATGACTGTTGTAAGTGCAAAGTGGATTTGTTGTCAAAGTAGTAAACTGATAAGAAATATTTAAATTTATAATTCTCTGCGAAGCCAAAAATATATATATATATTACTTCCTTAAATGTTTTATTCGTTATTTATCAATTTTTAGTATATCTACGATCTATTTATACCTCGTGCATCAAAATAACCATTAGCAAGCGTACGCCTGCTTGATGATAATGTGAAAAAATAAGGACAACTCAACATGAGGCATTGATTTAAGTACTATATACTGAAGTTCTTTAGTAGCCTGGATACTTCTTATGAACTGATAGATGTTTTGTCATTTTGATTTTATCAAGACCTTTGTATCTCAGCATCTACCTTAAAGCGTTTCTTGAAGAACTGAATTTATTTCTTTTATCAGCAAACTTTATCTTCGCCTCTGGTGAGATAATCTTATTTTAGTTTATATTTAGTATTTAGTAAAATATTTTTATAGTTTGAAGCTTCACTTTTTCCCTGTATCTCTATAGGAAAGCTCTATTTTTTTAGATGTTTGTTTTCTGGTATTCTTTCTCGGAGTTTTGTTACGTGTTACTATGTGAAAACTTTCTTTCACACAGATGCTAAAGAAACCTTTTTTTAAAATGACCAATAGGAAAACAAAAACTAACATGTTGGCCAAGTAAACATGACTTTAGTTTTAGCTCACGTTTTCATGAAATATAAACCATTTTTTTTAATCTTACTGAATTTGGGGAGGAGGGGTATGAATACTTTACTACTGGGTTTAGGCGTATGAGTGTTTGCAGGCTAAACTATTTCTTCATCAAAGAGTCCGCGTCATTAAAGTTTCAACTATTTACAGTTTCTTTTAATCATCTTTAATTATTTTATCCTATTGTGCATCGTTGGTGCATGTTCATTCAATACTAACTATCAATATTTCTAATCAAAATAGTCAAATTTAAACGTTGAATGAAGAAAAACAGCACATTTAACCCTAAGTCGTGCTTACCCGATAAACTAAGCTTGAAGTCTTTAGGGGTATGAAAATTTCTGAAAGAAAATAAAAAAGAGTGGGAAATGATATAATAACCACGCCATATTTAGTATATCCAATGCCGATGAGGCCTTTCGTCAATACCAAAACGTTTTTTGTTTTACGTCGACTGAAATACGATACTGAAGACATAGTAATTGTTCAGCCAGTAAAACCTTTTTTTTACGTCGACTGAAATACGATACTGAAGAGATAGTAATTGTTCAGCCACTAAAACGTTTTTTTTAGGTCGACTAAAATACGACACTGAAGACATAGTAATTGTTCAGCCACTAAAACGTTTTTTTTTACGTCGACTGAAATACGACACTAAAGACATAGTAATTCTTCAGCCACTATTTATATTGCTTGAAAAACATTGGTGTGAACTGAATAAAGCTGGTGAAATGTAATTTTTATCAATTTGAATATTTCCTTACGTATCAGAATTAGGATAATAATCTTTCAACATTATATTATTTATTTATATTAACACCATATTATTTTTTAATGTTCTTTATTTATTTTACTTGAACTAACCTACTCATAATTCAAAAGAGCTGGCGAACAGCAAGTCTAGCCAAGCAAATAACAAAGTAAAAGGCCGATATGTCTGTGGACTTACAACGCTATGAGCCTTCTACTATGCCCACCGTGGGGAATCGAACCCCAGATTTTATATTGTAAGTCCGTAAACTTTCCATTGACCTACCGGTGGACTTGTATTTTTGTCTTATATAGTTGTAGCCCCCACTAGCACAGCGGTATGTCTGCGGACTTACAACGCTAGAATCCGGGTTTCGATACCCTTGGTTGGCAGAGCACAGATAGCCCTTTGTGCTTAACTACAAACAAATAAACAAAGTAAAAGCAGAATAAGATGCAGGAAAACTGAGTTTTTAATAATAGCTCTTGTAGTGGAAGTTAAAACTTACTCAACGTAAAAACAAATTCTTTTAGCTCGAAATGACATTTATGATTGTAATCTTTTTTGTATACTGAGACTATTATATGGATGAAATGCCTAAATCCAACAACCTGAAATACAGTACTTTAGGGAGAAACGGACCTTCCGCGCATCCTCTGGACCTTCATTTCGCACCCCCAGGGTGTGCCAGTACCTCTACGCTAGAGGGAACGCAGTTAGTTCAGTTAGTCAACACCACCCAACAGCTCGTTATCAACAAAAGTAAAATTGACCGTCATATTATAGCGCCCCCATGGTTGAAAGGGTGATCATGTTCGGTGACGAGACTCAAACCCGCACACTACGAGTCAAGTGCCTTGACCACTAGGCTCGAAATATGTTTCTGTTTTAGTAAAATGTTTCTTTGAATAGTTATCTAGTGAATTGATTTGAATGCTGGTGACTAACTGTATAGTAAAGAAGGTAATAAAACTGGACTATACAAGGATCGAATTTTATTTTTCACCCATGAAAAAATTATTGGACGAAAAATAAAAAAAAGGAACGAAAGAGCTTCCTCTATTGCTTCCCCTTTTAATTGATTAAGATGTACTTCTTTAACTTTAAGTTTAGTAGATTAAGTTACGAAAGTTAGCAATTGTTTAAGAATGGTAATCGGCAAATCTGATTAAAAATAAGATGTTACTTCTTTTATAAACAAGTTTATTTTTGTGTTGGAATTGACCAATCTTGCTTCTAAACAAACTTTATATCGTGGATATCGTATTATCAGGTCCTACTTGTTGAAGACTGCAAGTACTGATTTGCCTATAATTGTTGTTCTGCATATTTTATGTGAACAACGTTCCTTAAAAGACGCCCCCTCCCAAGTGGTACCATGTGTGTATTTTTGCTGTTGTTGTTTGTTTTAGAGCAAACCCACATTGAGTCTTCTGCTATGCCCACCGTGGAGAATCGAACCCCGTATTTTATATTGTAAGCCCGTAAAGTTATCATTGACCCTCCGGTGGACTTGTATTTTTTGTCTTATCTAGTTGTAGCCCCCAGTGGCACAGCGGTATGTCTGCGGACAGGGTTTCGATACCCGTGGTGGGTAGAGCACAGATAGCCCATTGTGTAGCTTTGTGCTTAACTTCAAACAAATCAAAGAAACTTAGAAGACGACACACCCGCTGTTTCTCAAGATGGATTTGCATATAATATTGATTTTTCGTCGCCCTTTATTCGTGTATATAGATGTCGTACAAACGTAGGAACCGGGAGTGGGGCGAAAAACCTAATTGCATACAATATAGCTGTTTTCGTCGCCCTTTATTCGTGTATACAGATGTCGTACAAACGTAGGAACCGAAAGTGGGGCGACAAAACTAAATGCATATAATATTCCTCTTTTCGTCGCCCTTTATTCGTGTATATAAATGTCGTACAAGCGTAAGAACCGGAAGTGGGGCGACAAATCTAAGAAACAAGTAAGATAATACAGCGAAGGTCTGTATAGGTGTTCATTTAACACTCGCATGTGACTTTCATGTAAAATATTGTATGTATAACTCCACTTTAAAAACAAGATACAAGTACATTCCGTATGATTGTTTTTTTTTTAACGTGATGGATGAATAGTTTTAGAACATAAGATATTATAGAAACTGTTTTTGTTGGAGCAGCTTTAACACTTACAACATTAGCGGTAATTCATCTAAACATCTACTCCACGCTGGTATATCATGTTATCCTATCAGAATGTAGGAAATGGAAACAGCAAAAAAATCGCCTGTTTATTTTTCCCACTAACATACACAGTTTGTAAAAATTTAGAAATCAGCCTTAACGTTTCAGTATATATTTAAAATGGTTTCGTCTTTATCAGACTGTATTATTATTTTTACTATTTGCTCTTATTTAAGTCTATTGGCAAGAAAGTGAAACAAGCTTTTGCTACCATATAATTACATTTGTGTACCAACAAACTGAACATAGCTGTTCTCAGCCTCCACGATATCTATATATACCCTAAGAATGCTTCTAAAGGAAGCTAGCTGTATATACACACTATGAAGACATATTTTACTGTTAATTGTATGCCGTACAGCGTTTATTGTAGACTTCTCACTGGGAAATGTCTGCTAAAATTAAGTTTAAATGATACTTATGTTTCCAGTACTTACCTCTACATCACCATAAGTCACACTCGATGTAGCGTTATTTGAATTCTTCAAAGCGAACCTTATTTCCGTTGTCATTAAAGATGTGTCATAACCCATTTGAAAGAAAAATAACACTGACGCTTTTCTTCATTAATTTAATTGTGTGTTCTCAACGGAAGTACGTTTTTCAAATTCATCCTCTTCCTCCCTTAATCGCACTCTTTGTGCAGTTTGTACTTCCTGTAACTTATTTTTACTTCTCGTGTTCGTTTAATTTGTTTTGTCGATTCTTTGGGCTGTGCGTGTTTCTTGAATAACTGAAACTGTATTTGTGCACAAGTTTTAACGAATAGAAAATGTGTTTGTGCTCGAAGAAATTACCTCAACAACAACAACAAAAAAAAAAAACATTACTTGTTTAGGTCGTTAGCTTCTGGCCATTGAAATTAAATACATTAATTACTCTTAAAGACCATATTTTTTAATGTACAAAATTGTGTTCTCCTCTTTGGATTAAGTAAGCTTCACAGTCATGTAGATGTGTTTGTTGTTAAGTACAAAGCTATTCAATGGGCTATCTGTGCTCTGCCCAACACGGATATCGAAACTTGGTTTTTAGCGTTATAAGCCTTCAGACTTACCGCTGAGCCACAGAGTTCATGTAAATGAAAAAGTTTAAGATATAACATTATAAATT